TTCAAGTTTGATTACTATTTTTCTATTAAATATCTTTTTCATTAAAAATTACAATTTTTTAATCTGAGAGTAACCCCAAACAGGCATTCAGTAATAAAATTCATGCAAGTGCAAAAAGGTCAAGAATATTAGCATTGCTAAAAACCTCTCTCTCATTAGTAAGACGGGAAAGGTATATATTTTAATCATTTTTTGTAATCAATTGGGTAATTTCTTTATCATATTAAAGAATGAAAACACTGTGACAAAGACTTCTAAAAAATATTTACAAATGTAGGGTGGAAAATCGACTGAAAATAAATAGAGTTCATTTGCCAATAGTTTTTTTGAATGTGGACTTATCTTTTATGTCAAATTAAAAAAGAAAGAATTTTTCTCGGTAAATAATGCTAAATACGGTACAATTAATAAACAATAAAAACAACTATGTTCAAAGAAGTAATTCTGTGACTTTTTGTTTTCTTTGCATGACAAATACCCCTAAAAATAATCGAAATTGTGAAGTCGCAGTATGTAATAATCATTCCATGTTTAAATGGTTGCACTACATTTAATAACAAGAAAACATAACATGTGCTTTTTACTGATTGATAAGCAACTGCTAATTTGTCATTATGAAAAGTTTGAAAATCTAATGACAAAGACTTCTACGACATAGGTTCTACCTTAAGCTTTCCGTGACAGTGGTTCTCGTTAAGATTTTCAAAGATTTTTGCATATACATTTAAATGTAAAATTTGGATTACATATTGCCTCCTCCTTTAAACTGTTCTATTTTTGTTTCAGAAAAGACAAAATGAAGTCAAAGCTTTTCATATTCGCTGTTCTTTTTACGTATGGTACCGGTTTTGAACGGATAGGTGAAAGCATACATAATTCAACTGAATTCACAGGACTAGAAACGACGACCAGGGCTACAAATGCCACAAAACTGACTTGTGAAAGATTGTGCAATTTCAGGTATACATGAATCTTTAAGCCATATGTCTGTTTCTTAAAGTTTGCTCAAAATAATACCATAAGTATAAAGAGGGTGTTGCAGAAACCCTTTGTATCGAGAAGGACATGTAAACACCAGCGTTTTGTCTAAGTAAAGATACAGCTCCGTAGAGAACTAAGCTATGAATACTGTTTTTCCTCAAAGCTGATTGACAACACAGCCTTCACGTTCACCCTCTTATTTTATTTTTTTTTAATTTAATCGACTATCGCTATTTTGCACGAGAAAGGGTAGAACAATTTTAACCACGATTACTAGTGCATCTTGCACAGTATTTTGAAAGATATACTGCAGACATCGTGAAAAAATATTTTACATGAAATAAAATGTCCCATACGTGTAATCACACTGATAGTGCTACATCCAAGATAATCCATTTGTTTCTAATAATACCAGACCGAATATGAATCAAAATGAGTAAACGACTTTATTCAAAACAATAAATTATTTAAAATATACTTTATTTTCCAAGACAAAACTAAACAACGCATAATGTTCGTGCGCGCACACTCTTTCTCTCTCTCTCTCTCTCTCTCTCTCTCTCTCTCTCTCTCTCTCTCTTATAAAAAAGATATTAAATTGCTTTCCTAGCAAAAATATAACTTTAAAAAAATGCAAAAAGACACATCCCAGGATTCGAACGTATGCTCTCTTAAACGTAATTGTTAGGAGTCCATCAGCATATACACTAGACCATTTCGGACAAGACAGTTATCCATTGTTATTTAATGTACGACAGACATTTTACATTTCTTATGGAGAATAAGTTTAATCAATTTTTGCGTTTTTAAAACATGTGCTTCTTTGAAACAAAAATCGGAAAAGACAGTTTTAAAGAAAAATTCTTTCCTTTTTGTGCATATATCAAAATTATTCTGTTTTAAAGAGGCAATTTTTAGAGATAATGGGGATTCCCTATTTAAACAACGGAAAATCGTATACATTTTGTTTTGAGACGAATATAAACTTCATTTTTATGGCAAATTGGAAGTCAATACACAGCTTCTAATTATTGTTCCTGATTGTGCTTTATAGATTTTTGCAATTGAGAAAAATAATATCAGTTTCTGTAACATAAAATTCTTCTTTTAATCTGCTACACATTTAGGGAAAATAACAACAAAAATTGCTACACCCTCTTTCAGTCTATTAATTGATATATTTTAAAAGATTCTATCTTGGTCTCCAGATACGTATTATCGAAAGGGATTAGGGTTCTAAAGTCTTATACAATATTAATGTTTGACATTTAATACAGAAAAAAATTATCCTGCTAACATAAGATAATAAGTTCAGGGAGGATTTCACTCGACTTTCCATAAAGATTGTTCATGCTTAATTAAAAGTAAAACATGGTATATCAAAAAGATCGGGACAATTTCCCGCCACTATGATACAGCGTGTATTGGTTTTTTGAAGGCCAAAACTCTTCAATTGAATAATAAGCATCTTCTTGTGATGACAAAGAAAAATTGCAATGAACAAAACATTTTCTGATTTGTACATTGATTTTATTGGTTCAAGTTCATTTGAATGCTTACTTTTCTAAACATTTTGACGTGCGGGTATTTCTAAATTAGAGTCTGCTTGCCTTGATCCGGCTCAGGTTAATAGTTTGGCTAATAGGTAGGTGAGATTTATTAGATTGATTGATTGTATACCGTTTAACGTCCCTCTCCAGAATTATACACTGATATGGAGACGTCACCATTGCCGGTGAAGGGCTGCAAATTTGGGTCTATGCTCTGCACTTAGGGCCATTGAGCAGTGAGGGATCTTTATCGTGCCACACCTGCTATGACACGGGGCCTCGGTTTATACGGTCTCATCCGAAGGACCACCCCATTTAGTCGCCTTTTACGACAAGCAAGGGGGTACCGAGGACCTACTCTAACCCGGATCCCCACGGGATGAGAGTTATTAGATAAATAAAAAGAAAAAATGATATGTCTTGTAGTATCCTGGAAATAAAAGAAATAAATTAGGGTCTAAGCATTTTAGTTTAGCAGGTTTGGGCGTGGAACTCAATATAGCCAGAGGTCGTTCTGTATAAAGTAATTTTTAAAAAATGATCTTTTTTTTACAGAATATTTTTCCAGATGGTTAAGAAGGAGTGCGTAGGGTACAAATGTAAATGGGTTACACTCAAACCAAAAATATAAATGTATTGGTTAAAAATAAAACATTTTGCACTATCAAAGACTGTTGTTATTCTTATGTCACTCTGAATACCAAAAGATCCATATAGAGTTCAGCAAATGTCCGTGTTTAGAAACTTATAAGAGGACAGATTTAATAAAAACTTTAAGTATTGAGTGGTGAATTACAATTGCCATTTTTATTTTAGATCACTGAATTCAGGTAAGTTATCAGAGGATGTCAAAATTACACGCATGTAAAATATACATGCAACATATTGTTTATTGACAGAAAAACCCACGCATTATTTCAGTACTTTGCCGTGTGATAAAAATGTACATAAACATAAAAATGCCTTGTTAGGTAACTAGTACGATAAGTTATGCCGCTTAATTAATTAAGTACGAAATGACCTTATAAAATTATAAAAGAATTAAAATAATATCCACAAATTAATGATTTCGAATTGTTTTTAAGGTAACCATAAATGGTTATAAATTTAAATCCTATATATCCATTAAAATATGCATATGTATACGTCTGAGCTATATTTATTGTTTCACTCTCTGTAACATCTTCATAAAGCTCACAAGCGTATTAAAGCAATATGGGCTGCATTTTTGAAAATATCATTTTGCTGTTAACGTGTGTTATTATTGTATTTTTGTATGTATTTTAAACTTCAATGATTACTTACACTAAAAAAAGAAGCAAGACTTCTACATGCAATTCTACATGCAATATATTTTATTTGCATTTGACATGCAATTCAATATGCAGTTTTATATAAGAATTCATAATTGTACAGTTGGACGACAATTAGATAATTTTGATTCAATCGAAGCATATAAATAGTTCTTTCATTGCAAATATGAACGACAGCAGCTTATTAACGTTATTTTTTTTGTCATTGAAATAGATTTTTTTTTAAGAATTTTGCTAAAACAAATTCCGACATCAAAGTTGCCGCTCGTATTGCTTAAAGTAGGAATCAATTTCAATGAAAGGGGGGCCAACACTAAACATTTTTTTATTTGGTGGAGGATGGGGGTTAAACCTCAAACCTTTGATCAAAGGAGAAGGCAATGGACTACCGGGAAAATAACAGAGACTGACAGGGGAACCATAACAATAGTAAAACATGACATAAGATATGACATTAATAATCTAATTAAATTATATGTGAGACCCGCTCACAAAATCGATACAAGAATCTAACAACCTCCTATAGAAAATCGTGTCAGCGGTCAAACTCTATCACCCAATAAAATTGCAGCATGGAAAATGTAGAAACGAAAAAGTTGTTCAAACTTAAAATCTGACATGACCTTCAGATTTTATTTTAGTGGATATGTGAGAGTCTCTAACTTCTTGATTTAATGCTATTGTGACGTTAAATGGAGAAGATTTTACAAAAGTAAAGAAGAAGCTTTCTAAAAAAAATACCCCTAGTACATGTTTAATAGAAATTGAAAGAAATCTATATACATGTCACGTCAGGGTCTTCTAAACGTACATTTGTACCACTGTTATATGGTTGGGGTATTACATGTTGCATATTGCAAATCAGCTGTCTTATAATTATGAGCCACACGACAAGCTATAGGTCTTTGATTTAATTTTATCAATAATTTTAAACAATAATCAAATGGGTTTTGGTCTGCCGGGGATAATGATAACAAATTCTAAGGAAAAGTCTTGGAAAAAATATTGCCTTAAATATAAAAAGTAAGGATCGGAGTTCATAGGACTTGCACATGTAATACCCTCGAACTGAGTTGCTTAAGCTAATCTGAAAAAGAAATATATTAATTGATTGCCCGAGAAAAAAACTGTCCTATGAAGTTAAAACATCAGCTGGTTAAATTTCTGCTTTGCCCTCGACGTCTTGATCTTTCAGTTTTTTCTTTTCATAATGTTTGTAAAATTTGTATGACATTGCCACGATCACAATCAAATTCTTTAAAGAAAAAACCGAGATGCCTTGGTCGAATTCATGCCATAAAAACAGTCTAATGACCAAGAGTGGAAGATTGATGATGTATGCAAGGATAATTTTATGCAACAAAATCAAACGTCTGGGTAACTTGGCTTGTCCGAATTGGGTTAGCGACAAAGTAACAAGAGGTATGGTTGGTAGAACAAAATTTAAGGAGGCTACAGTCACTATGGTTTTAATGAGACCTGGTGATAAATCTTCACGATCCTCCTTAATAAAGAGTGGTTCCAAACTGTCGACACAGTCCAGGATATCATAAATAACACTTAACGATAGTGATTTGATGTATGCCTTCCTCGCCGAATCAGGCTTTGCGTCATGAAGAGTGGAAAGATGAAGCACAAACACTACTCCTACAACAGCAAAAGCAGTTTTTACGGAATTTGGCCCAAAAATGAGGTTTTCCTCCTTGAAATCACTAAATATTATAATCGACTTAATCATCACAGTGGCTGAATACAGAAACCACGAAAGCACATCTAACCAAATGTTTGTTTTCTTCAGTAACTTGGCATTCGAACCATTGAAACGAAAACATGACAATGTAAATGACGCAATAAATAGGATAATGGCGATGCCGTCAGCTGCTAGAAAGCCCAAAAAGGCAATGCCTTTCTGTTTTGCCATCTGGTAATCGACAACAGTTATATGATAGACGATAATTAGTACACAAAATACTCGAACACGTAGATGTCTGGTTGCTCGGCAGCACAGCATGAAGAGGGTTCTCTTCTTTTTCCTTTCTTCAATGCTAAGTTCTTCATCTAGATATATATAGATATGTCATAAACAGATAGGTGATACAAATTTAACTTTTATGCTATTATATATATTTTTTTCTTTTGTTTAAATATTACGTGTCAATAGCGTACATGTTTTCGGGATCTCCATATTCCTCTGATTTTCAATAAATAGTTCTTTACCTACAGGTAAAAAAATAGAAATATGATTTAAACTTCAGTAGTTTATTTTGTATACCTTAATAATTTCATATTACATTAATTGTCAATAACATAGTACATGTTTTGGGGTCTTTCGTATACTTTCTCTCTTCCTCACCCAGTTCGTCACCTAGATGTTTAAATATAAGAGATATGAGGGGTATGGAGATTACGGACAGCATTCAATATCAAAGTCCATAAACAATACAAAATAGGAGCAGAGCAAACACGGACCTCCGATTCATCACAGGTGGGACCAGGTCCAATGGAGGAGTGAGCATCCCCTGCCGACCGGTCATAACCGCCTTGTGCTCCTCGTCGTGATCGGGAAATTACGAAAAACCCCAACGTTAAATTCATTATCAATAAAAGACTAACACTTGCTATAAAAAAACGCCAGTCAGCATTGAGTCAATGATAAATTGTATTTGCTGACGAGGTCATTGTATTGACTGCAAAACTCACGAAATGATAACTTTTAACGAGACTCCTAATATTCTTGTTTCATCAATCTGTTTGTCGTTAATTTACCTGTGGTCTCCTTCTTTTCAACACTTAGTTCTCCACCTATATGTAAATAAAGCAGATATGTAATTAACTTTGAGCTTTTCTGGTATTTTTTATATTTTTTTCAAAGTTAATATATTAATTGCCAATAACTGTTATGATTATGGGTTATAAGGGTTTCTAAATGACAAATTATTAATTATGAATGTATTTTTATATAATTGATTATTACTTTTCGGTCTTGTTTGACATCTGAAGTTGAAAGTTAATTGTTTTCATTTGATGTTTAGTGAATGCAATTTGCACATGTTACCAATATCTAATTCTTGACATCTCTTTCCTGTCTCACGATATATCAATGTCATTTACTCATACTTGTTATCAACTTTATGGTTAGATCTTAGGATCGTGTTCTTTGAATTTGTTATGCTTAGCTCTACCTAATTTCAGTGTTGTAAATTAATGTCATACGGATTCCCCCTGTTCTTGCAATTTTCTATCCTTAATTTAATTGGCTGGTTAGTACGAAAGTGGGCGGAGTTGTCAAAGATTAGATGTGAGTGAGTTTGTATGTGAGTCAATTTTAGGAAACTTCTTTGTAAAACTCAGTTTGTGAAATCTTAAGAAATTCTTTGTTAAATTCAGTTGTTCTAAATTGTATTTGTGAAATTCATATTTTTGGACTTACAATAAATTCTAAACTTTAAACCTGACTTATCAATTTGACAATTTATTACATGGTGGAGAATCCGGGTAAACCAACTCAACATCGTTCATCATCTTAACTGGATTATTCGATTCTCGGAGATTTTACCAATTTATAGTGGTGCCGAGATTCATGGGAAAATTGTAAAATTCAGTTTTACAGAAGCGCTACAACCCGCATTTGCTGAACTCATGTGCTCAGTCATGTTCAATATGTGTGTCCCACTATCCACGCATTTTTCCTTTCGTTCCGTGGATGACGATTCCCAACAGGATTATGCAAATGGACCAGGCACCGACTTCGAACCTTTCCCTGTCCTCAAAAATGACTATCCAACCATTTGCTGAATTTCTGTGCTCAGTCGTGGTCGATATGCATGTCCCCGTATCCTCGCACTTTTCGTTTCGTTCCCTTGATGAGGATTTACCGCAGGATCGTGCAAATTGTACCAATGGATCCGGGACCGAAATGTTCCCCGTTCTTCAAAATGACAATCCATCCAACCATTTTCTAAACCTAGTTATAAGAAACACGATGTTTGGAAATCGTTCATTACCTACAGGACTTAATTCCTCTAATACCGAAGGTCGAGCCACAGGGAGTCAAGAGCTGGCCGTACCTGCAGAGGGTTCTTTCGTAAATTCACGCCATGCCAAAGTCAGTGAAGCTGTTCCATCGCTCTTTATTGACTGTTAAAGTTTTTTTTGTTTAAAACCAATGATTCTGAGATGTACATATGTTAATGCATGCGACAAGTTAGTTATTTTAGTACTTTTCACATAGACCTGTATATTCCTTACAGTTGCATGAAAGTAGTTTTTGTTGTTGTTTATTACGATTTGCGATATCGATGTGCTATTGGTGTGTTTTGTTTTTAATATCATTATAATTATGCATTGGTACGAGTGTGTCTTTTTTGCTCAAGTTATTTAACTGCAAGAGCTTAGTACACTTTTCTCGTAGTGCTAATTACTAATGGGTATTGGTCACAATTTGAGCTACCAATGTGAAGTAGCTGTTGTGAGAGATAGTTAGTATACTTCTGAGGCGTAATGATGCCTGGAGTTGATACGTTTTTTTTTTTATCATGATGTCATATATCGTTTCTTTTGCAACTTTGTTATAAAGTACAGCTTGAAAGTAAGCGCCAGTACGGTAACAATGTTATGAGTGTTGCATAAAGCGATGACATGCTTGATATGAGGCATGATCCCTTTTTGTAAATATATGTGTTTAACTTTGTTTTATATTTTTGATCTGTATTAATTTACAGTGTTTCATATGTATGTTTATGTAATTACGGATGTTTTATTCCACAAGTATTACAGCTTATACATATTGTTGAAAACGGTAGAAATTGAGAAGGTAGGAATTACTAGTATGAGATATTTGTGGCATACAGCGTGTGATATGAAAATTTTGAATTGGTTTGATATTGTAATTGCTTTTCTAACCAAGGATGTTTTATTCCGACAGGGTTATACCTTATGCAATTCTACATAGTATTAGTATGCAGTATTTGTGGCATACATCGTGTAACAAAAATTTTGTGTTGGTTTGATATATTAATTGCTTTTTCTAACCAAGGATGTTTTATTCCGTCAGGGTTATACCTTATGCAATTACGTAATTGAATATTGTTTTATCTTTATTTGAAAGTGGTATGATTTATTCTAACCGAGGATGTGTTATTCCATACAGGTTATACTTTGAACAACCATATTCGAGAATTTGTTGTTTACATTTTTTTTTACTATGCATTGCAGCGCAAGTTATGAGTTCTTATGATGCACTCTGATTTGAATATTATGTTCGTATGAATGTGAGAGTGTTTGATGGGCCCAATGAATGGTGTATACATGTTTCGAAAACATTTTATTCACTTCTGATTTCATTACTAGAATGCATTTTTCTTCTTGTACATGTATTATATTTTCTTCATTATCATTTTGTATAACATTTCTTTTGTGTGCGTATTTTATGATTGTCTTTATCGTTTAATGTTTAAAATTGTATGCAAATTTTTTTTAGGGGGCGGATGTTATATACATGCGTATAAATTATATGCGTATAAATGCATATTTTTGATAAAGACAATTTGTTAGTTTCTTAGATGTACTTATGATTTAGGTATTGTTTAAATATTATAATTGATGTACTGGGAATTTGTAATTGAAAATTAATTGTTTTATTTGATCTTCAGAAAGAGCACTGCTGCACGTGTTTGTGATTTCTCAAACTTGACATCTCTCTCTCCATCCCACGGTATCGATGCTATTAGCTCATAATTGTTATCAGGTTTATGGTCAGATCTTAGACTGGTGTTTCTTTGAATTTGTTATGCTTACTCAAATTGTTTCCTGTGTTATAAATTAATGTCATTGAGCTTTCCCCAAACTTTTCTACTGTCTTTTAACTTGTTTCATTGGTTCATTTATGAAATGTGGGAGGAGTTGTCAAAGATGAGACGTGCCTGAGTTTGTTTGTAATTCACTCTCACTTTAGGAATTTTTGTGTAAAAATGTGAATTTTGATTTTGTACTTTTGGACTTGAATAAATTCTAAACTTTAACCAGGAATTATCATTTCAAAACAATATAATTATTACATGGTGGAGAATTTTTTGAGGTTTCCCGTGCTCTTCTTTTCTACATCTAATTTTTCACCTACATGTAAACAAAAAATAAATATGTTTTACAATTTTATCTATTGGTATTTTATAGCAAACGCAGTTATCTCTATAGAATACATGCAAGAATAGAAGAAATTAGGAATAAAATCCGTACATACGTCAGGCAATTATTTTGTGAAAACTTCACGGAATTCCTTTGGTACAAGGATTTCATACAATCATGGCGAAGAGATAAATCGCATAAAAAATTAAAGATTTACGGTTTGTTGATCTTACAAGCAACAAGAAAATACTTTAAAATGTCTTTTGTCAAAAATTGTACTTAGTCTAGTATTATTTTTTATCAAGATGCTAGGCTGTCTCCGTAAGCTCTGACTAGCTCCCTTACTTCATGAGACGTCACAGGTAGTCTAGATGTCCTGATGTTTGAAGTGGCCGATAATTGTTGCAAGTGTAATTTTGATATTATACTGTAACTGCAATCAACCTTACGGTCACTGTTGATATATTTTAAAATTTTCAATGGCATACAACAATTTTTGTCTATGTTTTTATTCTCTTCAATGCCTAGTTCTTCACTCAGATATAAATATAAGAGCTTTGGTCATACAATTTAAACTTTTATTTCCATGTATTTATGTATACATATTTTTAAAGTTAATCTGTTTATTGTCAATAACATACGTGTTTCTTGGATCTCCATGTTCTTCTCTCCAACGCCTAGTTCCTCACCTACATGTAATCATAAGAGATACAAGGGTTGTTATAAAAGTTCACAGACACATTGATTTACGGAAAATCTTTTATACTGGAAAGTATGACCCATGTCTGATTAATGTTT